GGGGCTGGGTCTGATCTCTGGGCACGAGGAATGACTCGCTGAGGTCGATTTTGCTCGCACTTGGTTGAATTTGCACGCATGTGGCACGAGGACTTCGCGGATCCTACTCGGGTTGTGTCTAGGACACGCGGGTCGTGCAGGCTTCGCGGGTCACACACTGGAGTACACAGGTCGCGCTTGGGTGCAGGGGCACCCTTGCGGGTTGTGCATCTATTTCGTGTATCTTTATTTGGGTCGCGCGTGATCATTGGACACCTGGGCAAATTGTGCGTGTAATTCTCGCGCGACGGAGGGCCTGGATGCTTCTTGCGCATGGCGATGAACTAAGTCGCATGCGCAGTCAAGCGCGACTGTGCGTGGGCGTCGGGCACCTGGGAGCTACAACATGATTTTACACAGGTTGTGCAGTCTGGGATTCCATAGTACACGACCAGAATTTTTTTAACACGGTATGTCAGGGTTGGTCAATTCGAAGGTCACTCCTGGCCGTCAAAAAGATCACAAGTGGCTGCGAGATTAAATATGTTTGACGAGATCCTTGTAAATTCATCGGGATATGAATAAATGACCTTGAACTAGGAAGACCCATGGGCTTCTTCAAATAGAATTTAGAATCCTAATATCTTCCAACTAATTAACCTTCTAAACGTCCTAATGCCTTCCAACTTAATTACCCTTCTAAAAGACTTATGTCTTCCAACTTTGTAGTATTCTAGAAGACATCAAATCCTTCTACTTAGGAAAATTCTAAAAGATAAATTCATTCTTATTCTTTATATGAATAATAAAACATTCTACTAAAAGATTTTTTTTTATTGAACTCCACATTTAGCTCTGAATTACACTTAATTGCTCAATTTACCTCCACATGTATAAGATATAAAGTCCATTGATTAATTTAATTACTGACAATGCAACTAATTAATTTTTTTTATCTCTCATGTCCAAAAACAGTAACACGTTATCTATTATGTCAGAAATTAATCCGCCTGTCGGGCTTTACAAAATAATCCTTCTTGAACTTATTTTGGGGGCGTCATCAACCCAGCGGACTGGGACAAGGTTATTGTAAACAACCTTAACAGCACATCATGCACTCGACGTTATTTACCAAAATATAGAGTATGTAGACCTATTAAAATAAGTCTCACCCATAGTAAATCAAATAAATAAGTACTGAATACATTTTTCCCTATTATCTTACGAGTTAAGAGAACGCCGTAATTATTGAGGTACAGATTATTTACTTGGTCAGTATTCAAATAATCTTCTCCTCCGTAGATCCATCCAATACTTACAATGCACTAGTATGATTCATCAGTTAAAGATCAACTTAATCAAAATCACACCATTGTCCATTCGAGTGGATACGCGGAACTAGTCTTTTACAACAAGTTTTTCAATTATGTCTAGACTATGAATTAATGGTTTATATTTCACAAGGCACCGATAATGTGATTTTTTTTGTTCAACACATCGAATCACATTATATACAATGTAAAATAAATGAATTGCGTTTCGCATAAATAAATAAACTGCCCGCATAAATAAATAAACTACGAACACTAATTCGATTAAAGACACATCTCATTCATAATTGAACTGGGAGTAATCACAAAACCGAGCTTCTACAGTATACTCCAACAGTGCTCAAGCAAAATCTTAATATGGGTATATTCAATTCAGATTTCAGTAACATTTTGCGACTTTTAAGATTTGTGACTTTTTAATATATTTTGGAAAATTTTAGGAAATCTTAAGTCTGCTTAAGTCTAGAGGTGGGATTTCAAGTGAGATTTCGTATAAGGTTAATTCTTTATTAATCCTACAAAATCGTAAAAAGCCTTAAAAAATCATAGTCTCAAATAAGTTAAATAGCTCAAAAATATGTAAAACTTCTTAGAATTTCAAATGACTACACTAAGACTTTTAATAGTTTTAACAAATCTAAACTGAATACACTTAGATTTCTGAAGCTTAAAAATTCTTTATAAATCTTAATTGAATACACCATTTAATATTACTTGAAAGTATTATGAATTCTACCTTAGAGCTTTATATAAACTCGTCGAGAATGACAGGGACGATGACGCAACATAGAAAATTAGCCTAAATTTCGACTATTTTTGCAATACCTATAAATTAAACTAAACAAAATCAACTAGGATTTGAAAAATATTATCATCCGAATAATAAACATCTTATTTCATTAATATTTGTCTACTCAGAATTGAGTCATTAATGAAACAAATCTAAATTTTTGAAAAGTAAAACAAAAATTATAAATATGAATCTAGGTGCACCTTACACACCTCTATTATCAATTTGTAAGTAACTTGAACGTATGAGAGCCAAAATCCATCTACATGGATAAATAATAATTATTTGTACGGTATATTATCCATCTTCGAATATAAATGATATTTTTCTAGCACGGAATAGTAAGTATCAATTTTGCACGGAATAGTTGCGTTGCCAACCTGAGCGGTCTTCTACCAACCTACAACTGTCCCTTACACGTCAAAGGAGTCATATTTAGCTCCAAACTTATCTTTCAAATTCAAAATGAATTGTAAGCCATGTTGCCGCTGTCCGTGTGCAGTACAGCTTACTTCGACATTTCCCATTTTCCAAAGAATCTGATCCTTCATACAACCATGGTAAGGCACATTCGACACCATTTCAAGTCAAAACTACAAATCAAATGCAAACCGATACTCCCTATCTGGAAAAAAAAATGATACATTCAGTTAAATGAAGGATGCGGATGGAAATGTCAAAACAGCTCATGTAGCTCCGAAAAAATAATCTAAGCCAGAAAATGATGTTAGGATTTCGCCACAAAATAACAAATTACGACTTAATCTCAGCACACAAACAACTCTGTGGTCAAAGATTATACTAATAGCCAGAACCTGCAGGTAAGCTGTAAAATTTTGACTTGCGGCCGAGAATACTATTCTAATGAGAATGGTTTAGCGGACGGTCAACCCCTGCACTGCTTGGGTGCTGTCTTCAGTTATCTTGTTCGCTTGAATGGTACTAATTACATTAGCAATGTTTCCCTGCCAGAATTCCATTAATAAAAGAAGTACAAAGATTAGCTAATCTACAATATTAGCTAATCTACAATATATATATATATATATACATAT